AAAAAAAAAAAAACGATGCGCAAAGGTGTGTCGTGTGCGGTCGTTGCTCAACTCAGCAGTTGGCTCTCACGTTCCTTCACCCGTTGCGCTTTGGGGGTGGCGTTGGCAAAGACACGTTCTCAAGCTCGGATCGGAAGACATCACTCCTCGCCCTCGCATCTCGTAACCCTATCCTCAATGGGCCCAACCTGGACACCTTTTATTGGCACACCGTCTGGCTCGCGATGATTTACGAATGGTTGAGCAAAGCGCACACGTGAAGGGCCTGCCGGTTCGAGTTTGAGCCAATCTTGCCATGCTTGTCACAGCGTATGCGCTCGCTTCCAAGTATGCACAGGCAGACCCTCGGGCTGTCGATGCTTCAAGTTTGCTCGTTCAAAGATTCGCGAGTATGAGCCGAGTGTCTGGACGAAGAAGGCCGCACTCGCTGTGGCCACCGAGTAGGAAGTGGTGGGCAAGTTTCGCACGCAACTCTGCATGCACGCTGGAGTCTCAAGTTGTACTTTGCCTCGTCTCGTCCTCACGCTTCTCCCAAGTCAAGCAGTGGCGGCGACCTTGACGTGTGCGCTGCGTTACTGATCGCTCGGTCTACGTCGCTTGTCCTGGCTTGCCGCACACTGGGCTTCCCACCGATGTTCAACACCTGCGTGACATGCTGTCGTCCCGATCCGTTGTGCGATGTCAATCCAAAGACTGGACATGCTCACGAGAGCCGGCTGCACAAAGTTGAGTCGCACGCAGGATGGAGGCGGGGATGGCTGTTGGTCTTGAGAGCCCCTCCGGAAGTGCACCACGGTGCAATGCAAGGCTGCTTGAATGCTTGAATCATACCTTTCACTCCCGCCCCAACCACAATAGCGGGCGCGAGAGCGCAAGCTACCGCGAGCCTAATCTTGCTCCAACGAGCAGCCTGTAGCTCCCAACACAACGCTCTTTGTGCGGTACGAGTTTGCGATGCTGCAGACAAGATGACTACCCTTGTGCACCACCGGCTACGAAAGCAGACCATGCCCATCTATCATTGCTGCCAGTGACAGCCGCAGCCGGAACCACGATTGGCACCATTCTGATGGAAGTTCTGCTCTTGACGTATACATAGCCCACTGGAAGGCGACGATTCGCACCGATGCTGGAAAACCAAATCCTCGCCATGCCATACGGAACAAGATAGGTGCGGGCTCTGTACATAGACTGTGATTCAGGTGAGTTGCAAAGCCAAGCGAGCGAGGGGAATGCGAGCAGAGGTACGACTTGTCGCATCCATGCGCCGTACACGCCATATGCCGGGCTTGCAATTGCGGCACCGCGAGGCGGGCAATCGCACCAAACACATTCGCCTCCCATCCAACCAGGCCATCCTCCTCACTTGCACCACAGTCGCACCACAGACTACCGATTGACGCTTTGCACCCCACTCGTGTTCGTTGCACTCCATGGCTTGCCTCACATCCCACCATGATCGCCATCATCTTCCTTTCATCTGCAGAATCACTTTTACCGTGCAAGGATTGGAGCCTCTCAGCCGATCATCGCTCTGTGAGCTTACCCTCGTTGCGTGCGATGAGCAGAGTCGCAATCACACCTGCAAGGCCTCCTCCACTAACACCAAACATCTTTGGTCCATGAGGCCAATCCGACTCTGTGCAGCCGCCAAGTCGAGTGCAGATCAGATTTCGCACATCAACACACCAACACGACGTGATGCAAAGCGCCAATTACGCAGTCGAAAAGTCGTTACCACCACCGGCACTTCATCTGCGCACACAGCCAAGCCGCCCCACTGCCATGCCACACCAGCACGATTGCCCCTCAAAGCAATGCACAACCCCGTCTTGTCTTGTTCATACCATTACCATCGCGTACTCCAGGTCCAGTCTTCTACAAGCAAACGACGCAACGACGCCATCTCGGCGGAATGATCTACCTCCTCGGCGGCGGGGGCGGCATGGCCCTGCCGTTCGCCGCCGGTTTGGGCGCCACTGGCGGCTTGGCGGCTACGGGCGGAGGCGTGCTTGCGCCGCTCCCACCGCCGTTGGCGCCATTCCTGGCCGCCGCAGCTGCCGCATTTTCCGCCTTCTTCTTGGCAAGCACCGCCGCGAAGCCACCAGGAGCACCCAGGCCCGGCATGACCGCCACCGGCGCTGCACCCGCATCGGGCTGCACCGCCGTAGGTCTCTCGTGCGGCTTTGCGCCCGCCGGTGTCGTCCTCACCACCGGCTTGGGCTGCATCACGGGCGCAGCCGCTCCACCCCCAAACGCAGGCTTGGCCGCCACCGCCGGTTTGCTCGTCGGCGTCGATGCGCCCGAACTCGCTGCGGGTGCAGGAGGCGGTGCACGCTTCACGGGCGGAGCCGGCGCCGCCTTGGGCTTGGGCGGTGCCTGCGGCATGAGCTCGAGATAGTTCGAGGGCGCCCAGCCTTCGACGCCGTTCTTCTTGACCAGCCACCAGCCGGAGCCCGTCTCGTCCTTCTGCGTGACCTCCACGACGTCGTCCTTGTCCAGCGCCATCTCGCCGGCGTTGTCGGTGGCAAAGGCATACAGCGCCTTGTAGCGCGGCACCTGCGGCACCTCGACCGGCGCAGCCGCAGGCGGTGGCGGAGGAGGCGGCGGTCCCGAGCGCGCAGCCGCAACCGCTCCGCCACTGATAGGCAGTTTGGCCGCACCAGCACTGTTAGGCAGCTTGGTCGCAGCAGGCGTCGCACGCGGGATGGCGCGAGGCTTGGGCTTGTTGTTCGCATTCGTCGGCCCACCTGCACGCAGCAACTTGCCCTGCGTAATCGGCCTCACAAGACCCGGCTTCTTCTTGGGCGCCGGCTTGGACACGCTGTTGGCCGGCTCGCCCGTGCACACCGACACGGTGCTGCTCTTGTACACGTCGTCCTTCTTGACCGTCTCGTCCTTCTTGAACGTGATGTGCGCCTTCTTGTCCTTCTTCTTGGAGAACTCGAGCGTGGCCGAGATGACGACGTTGATGGCGCCGTTGGTGCGCTGCAGCAGATGCGTCACCAGCTCGGTCTTAAAGTGGCAGTGGAAGACAGGATCGGCCTCCTCGGCGTTGGTCACGTTGAGCACCACCCAGTCGTCGCGCAGGTTGGACAGCCCCACCGCCGAGATGGCACCCAGGTTGATGCGCCGCTCGCACGTCGTCTGCACCTGCTTGTTGATCATCTGCGTCACCAGCACGTAAATCGCCTTGTCGGTAAGGATCAGGAAGCGCGGACTGCGCACGCTCGAACGGCCCAGACGCGACACGAGCAGCTGGATGCGGCTGCTGAACGCCACGCTCTCGCCCGCACCCATGCCGGAAGCCTGTCGGAGCATCTGACCCTCTGCGCTTCCTCCACCCTTGCCGTTGGATCCTCCGACGTCGAGATAGTCGCCCATGAAGCGTCGCGAGCCGATCAGACTGAAGCGTCTGCGCTCCTTGCGCCCGGCGAGCACCTGGTGGCCATAGTCGCGCAGCTGGATGTACGCGAGTCCCTCCTTGTTGTTCTTCCACATGCGCTGGATGCGGCGTGCGCACTCCTCCTTGTAGCGGAGGTAGTTGCGGTAGGCGCGCTGGATGCGCATCGCCATGTTGTGCCAGTATCGGTCGCGCATGGTCTCGAGCGCAAACAGCGTCTCGGGATTCTTGATAAACGCCTTGGTGACGCCCATCTGCCACTCTTCGCGTGCGATGCCCGTGTCGGTGAGGATGCGCTCGCATCCGCTGCGTGCGTCGCCCTGCCACGTGTACTCTCCCGCATACGAGGTGTTGGGCGAGAGAAGGTAGAAGCGCTCGACCATCTTTTCGAATGTGTTCCTGTACGCAAAGCCGGCACGTCGCACGCGGATGTTCTCCTGGAGACCGAGGTACTTGATCTGGTGGAGGATGGCCTGGGTGTCGTATTCGGTGGGGCTCTTGTTCTGGTTGGGCTTGATGGTGCGGATGTACGACGGCTGTGCACGCATGAGGTTCTCGACGAGGGCGTTTGCGCTCGCCTTGATGCGGTCGCCTGCGGTCGGCGGACGCTTCTTGGAGTTGGGATCGGGACGGTCGGGGAAGAGCTTCTGGAGGTACGAGTTTGCGCTCGAGTCGACGAGGTCGAGGATGTCCTTGAGCAGCGAGTCCTTGTTCTTGTCGGTCATGCCCTGCACGTTGTACATGACGTCGCCGGCGTAGTGCTTGATGAGGAACTTGGTGCCGCGCGAGTCGAAGTGCGGATTGGACGAGAGCATGCCGGTGCGCTGGATGAACGAGTTGTCGGCAGCGGTGGGATCGGCGTGGGCGGTGGCGCAGGCGTCGTTGAGGGCGGAAAAGATGCCGGGCGGACGCTTCTCCTCGATGAGGTCGCAGACGATCTTGTTGTTAAAGTACTTGATGGGCGTCCACTGGATCTGCTCGTAGGCGTACTCCTCCTGCTCCTTTTTGAGCGTGAGCTCGATAAAGATCTGCTGGAGCTTTTCGTTGACGTAGTTGATGCAGAGCTGCTCGAACGAGTTGTTGTCAAAGATCTCGAATCCGTAGATGTCGAGCACGCCGATGACGTTGGCCGAGTCTGCGCGCGGCTTCATGGACTGGTTGATGCGGTCTACGATCCAGTCAAACATGTTGTTGTAGATGGCCTTGGCGAGCGCGTCGCGCGTGGCGGCGGCCTGGGTGGGGTTGAGGGGCACCTCGTAGACGGAGCCTCTGCGACCGCCGCGCTGGGTCTCCATGATGCGCTGGGTGAGCGCCTTTGTGACGTTGCCGGCGTCGACCTCGAGGAGGTAGGCGACAAAGTCGGGGACGGCGGCGTCTGCGATCTGGGCGTTGCCCTCTTCGTTCTCGACGTACTGGACGTTGCCGATCCAGAGGATGGCGGCGATCATGCGGAAGATGTTGTCCTGCTCGTCTTGGGAGAGGCCGATGGTGTTCATGGCGTTGATGGTTTCGCGGTAGTCGGCGTGGTCGTCGATGCCGTTGACGTCGAGGCAGTGGGAGTTGGCGGTGTATGCGTAGGCTTCGGGGCCCTGGATGCCGTAGTTTTCGCGGTGGGCGGCGGAGGCGGCCTTGGTGAACTGGTAAAAGATGTGGAAGTTGCGTTCGTCGCGGATCTGCTGGACGACGCGGTTCTTCTCGAGGAGGTAGTTTGTGATGTTGGCGCCGATGGGCTCGCCCTGTGCGTTGAACATGATCTCGAGGTACTTGCCGTGGCGCGACGAGTTGTTGTTGCGGAGCGTCTTTGCACAGCCGAAGCTCTCGAGCAGCGGGTTGGTGGCGAGCACCATGTCCTTGACGTCCTGGATGCCCGAGTTGGAGCCGCCGCTGACGGCAGCGATGTACTGCATGATGCGCTTGGCGGCCTCCGTCTTGCCTGCGCCGGACTCGCCCGAGATGATGACGCACTGGTTTTCCTTGTAGGCGTTCATGTTGTAGTAGGCGCCCTCTGCGATGGCGAATACGTGCGGCGTCATCTCGAGACGGTTCTTGCCGCGGTAGGACTGGAGGATGGGTTCCGAGTAGATGCCGAGGTCGCGGAAGGGGTTGACCGAGATGAGCACGTTGCCGATGTAGGTGTAGATCTCTGCATTCTGGAAACGCTTCTGGAGGTTGTCGTTGATGGCCTCGTTGGTGACCTTGGAGAGGAGCGTCATGTCCGAGACGCCCGCCTGAGCCTTTTTGAAACCTTCGCGCCAGTCTGCCTTTGCGACGCCGCCGGCGGACTTGGATGGCGGTGGTTTGGAGGCGGCGGCGCCTGCCCTTTTGGCGCCGGCCTTCTTGGAGATGGCCATGCTGATGGGATCCTCAGTCGCGATGGCAGGAGACGGGTTGCTCCCGACGATCGATCGAGATGGTGGGTGTGAGTGGGTGATGAGGGGTTTGACAGGTTGTGTGACTGGACGAAAGGGTGACTGAATCGAAGGTGGTGGTGTGATGGAGTGACGGGGCGGATGGCTTGGTTGGTCGGGTCGCAGCCGATGCGAAGGGTCCACTTCCTGCTCGTCACGGCTGATCTCTCTGCCCCCACGCCTGCCAGATCGGAAGCTGCTCCGCTCCGCCCTTTGGCTTCTGTCCTGTCTCGGCCTCCACCGGCCGCTGAGCCGTGGCAGTGCGCACCGGCCATCTGCCTTCCGCTCTCTCTCTCTCTCTCTCTC